AAAGAAAGAAAGAAAGAAGAGAAGGGGGAGGAGAGAGATCAGCAGACACACGTATGTACACCCTTTGTCTCTTCCCATGTGAACATCCCATACCTTGAGACTTTGTGGGCACCACCAGATACCGCCTCTTGCCCCTTAATCAGAACTGTGAGACAAAATAACCATCTCTCCTTCACTAAGTGCCTAGCCTCAGCATTTCGTTACGACAGCAGAAGGTGCTCTCCAGTTTCCTCCGCTGTAGCTGTGCCGTCTCGGAGTCATCCTGCCAGCCAACCTGTGAAGATGTTCCGTTTTCTAGAAGGACGATTTTCCTTTGCCTTTGAGGGGACCCAGCTGGCACCTCTCTAAGATAGACTAATGGGAGAGAGACACAGTTTTATTTACATGGACATGAGAGACCACAAGAAAGCGCAGACTTGACCCTGATAAAAAATGACTATGCCTGAGGGCTTCTGTACTGATTTCAGAATACAATTTACCTACCTAAGCGTTGGTTGAACCCAGAGTAGCAACAGTGGGGACGTACCTCACACGTATGAGGCAGCCTGCTCATGCTTATCCCAGCCCTTGGAAGGCTAAATTAAAGCAGGAGAATCACTGCGAGTTTAAGGCCAGTCTGAGCTACACAGAGTTCCAAGCCAGCCACAAAGTGAGACCCTATTTCAAAAGAAAATGAAGAAAAACAAAGGTGTATGAGGACACCGAAGAAGGTAACAGTTGTTTTAACAATGTCTGTTGATATGGATGTCGCCTCCTTAGCTCCTATCTGGTGAACAGTCTCCTTCCAGACACTCCCAAGGAGCAGAGACTGGTCCGTGGTTTGATGAGATGGCTAAGGGAGCCTCCCTTCTTGCTCTGTCTCTCCAGGGCTAGAGTCCCCAAGCATTTTCCCATCCTGGCAGCCCCAGTGAATGGCTGCCCAGCCAAGTTTGCAGGATCCGCCACTTGTGAACCCCCCCAAGAAGAGCAAACACTTGTGGAATTTGCTCATAGCTCTCATTGTGAGTTTCTGTTTGGTGAATTAACACGTTCCCAGGAAGTGCCCGCAGCGTTTCATAACACAGTAGCTCTTGTTGGGCAGTAGGAGGGGGTGCAGGTAAGGGACAACTTTGTAAAGCACAAGATTGACACTGTGAATAGGGACAGACCTTTGGGTGCCATGCCTTCTCATAACCGCATGCTAGCTGGAGCCTACCCGACTGGACCAGCCTGGAAAGCCAGGGAGAAGGCAGAGATGAGACAAGCAGCTGAGCCTGCCCCCAGGCCCATGGTGGTACATTTCCACCTAAGACCTGGGGACTTGAAGTCAGGACAAAGAAGTCCATGCCCAAGGACCAGACATTGACTCTAGTCCTCAGAGAATCTAAGCTCCTAAAACAGCTCAAAAAGAACATGATCCCTCCTTTTGTGTTTTTAGACCACAGGCTCAGATTAGTGATCAGCTTCCAAGGTTGCTGTCAACAGTCGCCCTGTCAAAGTCTATCGTTCAAAATGAGTGTGCATCAGTGGAACCCTACATGATTTAACGTGATAGTAACAGGTGATATATGTTCTCATAACTGGAGTTACTGGAAATATCCTGTTAAATATTGATCTGAGAGCCAGGTGGTGGTGGAGCATGCCTTTAATCCCAGCACTTGGGAGGCAGAGGCAGGCAGATCTCTGTGAGTTCAAGGCCAACCTGGTCTACAGAGTGAGTTCCAGGAAAGGTGCTACACAGAGAAATCCTGTCTTGAAAAACATATATATATTGATCTGAGTTGACCTGGGGAGATGGCCCAGTCAGTAAAGTGCTTACTACAGAAATAGGAAGACCTGAATTCAATCCCCAAAATCCACGAATTTCCCTCAGTGATGGACCATAACCTGGAAGTGTAAGCCAAATAAACAGCTGGGGGTCGTGGCAGCGACTTGTCATCCTGGCACTGAGAGGTGGAAACAAGCAGATACCCTGGGCTCACCGGCCAGCCCAGCCTACTCAGTGAACTCCAGCACAGTGAGGGATCCCATTTAACAACAGCAAGGTGGACAGCTCCTGACAGATGATGATACCTAAGGTCATTGTCTGCCCTCCACCCAGACACATTCACACACACGCGTACATATGTGCACCTAAGTACATAAGTGACCCTCTTTTTCTCTCTCATACACATACATACTAACACATGCATGCATAATCAATCCATTTGTGTAAAATGAGGCCAAGTAAAAAGTTGGCATCTACAGTCTTTTGCAGATTTAAAGCGGAGGAAATGCATTTTCTTGCCCAAATAACCATTTTGGTTTTCAACGCTCTCTGAAGTCACCATGAAGATTTTAACTTTAATTTTCTCTAAATTGTATCGATTCATGGCAAATGTCTTCCTTAGAGATAACTTGCACCCTTAAAATTTTTACAGGAAAGTTGTGTTTGGGTTTACCTTTTTAGACTTTCTAAAGTAAAATAATTAATTGGGTTTTGTTTGTTTGTTTGTTTGTTAGGTTGGTTGGTTTTTTTTTTTTTTTTGCTGTCTATATTCCCTATAATGTAATGCAGACTTCTCACAAATTAGCTAAGGTCTAGATAACTATACAGCAGTGTAAGAGTAAGTTTACAAGTTATGTGTAATTGTGCTTATGTGTAAAAGTGTAGAGAGTAGAGGGAGGGTGGAGAAAGGAGGAAGAGGAAGGGAAAAAGTTAAGGTTTAAGAAACAGGAGGGAGAGTTGGGTGGGTAGGAAAGGGGTGGATCTGAAAGGAGTCGGAAGAGGAAATTAATATGATCAAAACACATTGCGTGAAATTCTCAAAGTACTAATAACAAATTTCTTAAAAGAAGAAAGATGTGGGAGAGGAATTTGTTAAACTAGACAGGAGTGGGTGCAGTCACTTTTCTCAAAGCCAGAGGGTAGCAAAGTCAAGTCAAGTCATGAGGGCTGCCGGGTGTGCTTGTCAAAACACTACCCCGTGCAATGGTTAGTGCTGTCAACTGTCACACTATTTAGAACTGCTTAGGAAGAGAGTCTCAGTGGGAGGCTATCTAGATCAGGCTGGTCTGTGGGCGTATCTGAGACTGAATTGTCTTGACGTTATCAGTGCAGGTGGGAAGACTCGCCCTTTGTGAGGGGTACTTTTCCCTGGGGTTGGGTCCTGGACTCTTGCAAGTATAGAAAGGGAGCTGAGCACAAGAAGCATGCATGCTTTCCTTTCTCTCTGCTCTTAGCTATGGATATGATGTGACTAGCTACTCCACATTCCTGCCTTGACTTCCCTGAAATGATGGACTGTGACCTGGATTTATAAGTTATATGGACATTTTTTTCCCTTAACATTGCTTTTATTGTTGTTTTTAATCACAGTAACAGAAATAAAATGGGGACACCCAGCTCCATGAGCATCCACATTTCCCACCAGGCAGTTTGGTGATGCAAGAATGACTGACTAGCTGTTTTACATCCTTTCCTACCATCAAGTAGGCATCACTACTTCAGCCCTCTCCTTTAGGGTCTGATACTCAAAGTCTTAAAAGAAGACTTGGCCTCTTCATTGATTTAACCCTGAGTTCTCAATGTGCTGTCTCTTCTCCCAGGACTGATGAGGAAAACACCTCACAGAGCACTGCAAAGTCATGCCTTCCCATGGTTGCTGTGAGGTACTTAAAGGCATCATGGAGACCATGCTGGCCTGGGATGGTAGCGGATGTAAGAGGCTGAAGAGCGGTGTATACCTGAGTCCTCGCTGGAGTTCTAGTGCACCTACGCAAGGGATGTCATTGTCTAGGAGGGTGGCTGAGACAAGGGAGTAGCAACAAGGTTTATAAGGAGCAGGTGAGCCGAGCATGTCCTGGGGCAGTTCTGAAGGTCCAGGCACAACAGAAGAAACTTAGGCAGCTCTATGCACAGTGGGTGACCAAACCATGGTGACTTTTGCTTCTACCATAGAAGTCCTGCTCTCCATGTTGCCTGAAATCTAGCAGAACTGAAATGCAAAGCTATGGATTTACGAAGAACCACTTAAAGCAAGTTTTAGGGGCTGGGAAGATGGTTCAATAAGCCAAGTGCCTCTCATGCAAGCATGGGGACAGGAATTTGGATTCCCAGAGCTCAAGTAAAAGGCCAAGCATGTCAGTGTACCCTTGTAAATCCTGTACTGAGGGGAAAGGGAGGAGAGAGGTGGATAGATGAAGCCCATTGGCTAGCAGCCTAGCCAAATCAAGGAGCTCCAGGTTCAGTGGGAAACCTTGTCTCAAAGAATAAAAGACGCGGAGTTACTGAAGATTGACCCAAGGTCAATCTCTGACCTCGATGGGCACACACACGGGCCCATGTACCCACACTAACACACACAACACACACATATTTATGGGTCAAAAATATCAGTTACTTATTGCCACACAAAAAATTACTCCGAGAATTACTTAATAAAATATCAGCATTTACCATTTCACACTATCTCAAGGTCAGAAATTTGGGAGCAGTTTGACTGGGTTGAGTCATCTCCAGGGGCCCAAGAATTACAGTCAGAGCTATGGAACCTGGACCAGCTGACTAGGGCCACTGTCACCCGAAGGCTCCAATGAGCTACAGTGTCTACTTTCAGGATGGCTAACTCACATGGCTGTCAAGTTGGTGCAGGCTAGTGTGGCTGTTGGGTGCCACACACTCTATACACAGGCCCTCACACTCCAGAGACAACCCTCTCCCAGAACAAGTGATCTGACCGAGCATGCTAGAATCCATCATGTTGTTTACAATCTAGCCTTGGAATGAGTCATAGTCCATCCTTTCTGCAATGCTCTATTGTTTACACAAAATTCATCTCCCTGTTTGGCACAGAAGGACAGTCAAGATGTGAGGGTCTTGGAGGACAATGGCCACACCATGGAAAATGCAAAAATACAGATAACTCATTCTTGGAAAAGAGGACTAACTGAAATCCTCAGAAGTCCAGTCTTGCTCAAGTTTCAAACCCTCCATCCTGCATTTCAACCAGAAGTACAGCAGAAATGATTGAACTCCACCTTCCTTTGGCTCTCGGCCACTGCTACCCACAAAGCATCGGAGTGTGCTCCAAGGTAGGACAGGCAAGGGAGAAGCAAGGTGGGACCACAGCTTCTCTCTTCATTTTTCTTTTTGACTGACAGGGAACCTGTGGCAGCACATGCTTGACAAACCCCAAGGCAAATGCTGCTCCCAATTAATCAATCAATTATCAATCAATCAAAGATAAGGAATAATGGGAGTTCAGTGAAGTCCAGTGCTCATAAAAAAGACCAAAGGGACAATTTGTCAGCGTGATGCAGATGAGGAAGGATGGCACCAACATCAGAGAAGCAAGAACAGGCAGTGGCATGCAGAAAAACAGTGTTCTGGTAATGACAAAGTCATTCTTGCACAGAGTGACTGGGAATCAATCCTAAGCTGTGGCGGCCAAGGTCAGAAGAGAGGTGTTGCCATCTTCTGTCAAGAAGCAAGGCTTTGAGTTAACTTTTGTTTAACTAGTCAACATCTGTAAAGATTGTGCTCATTAGCTGCTGTCTCTGCCTGTCTAAACATCCTCTTCTTTTAAAGATACCAGTTGATTGGATTAGGATCCACCATATTGATCTCATTTGGATTTAGACAGCTTTGGCCTTAATGTACCCATTCAAATTCTGAGGTACTAGGGGCTAGGGCCCATATGAGTTTGGGTGTGGGGACATAATTCAGTCCATAGCAGATGTGTTGAACTCTAACTGGATGACTCTTCTGACATTTGTCTTCAAAATAGTTCATCTTTTCAAAGATTTAGTTTTGTGTGTGTGTGTGTGTGTGTGTGTGTGTGTGTGTGTGTGTGTGTGTGTGTGTGCCTGTGTGCTTGCAGAAGCCAGAAGATGAGAATCAGATCTCTTGGAGCTGGAGTTACAGGCAGTTGTTAGACACCTATCAGGACCCTGGGGACCAAACCTGGGTCCTCTACTAGAGCAGTAAGCGTTTCTAACTACTGAGCCATCTCTCTGGCCCCACTCATCACTGTAAAACACTGCAAAGTTTTGCTTTCAGTGAAATGGGTCAACCCACCTCAGCATCGATTATTATGAACATTATTTCTGTTCCACGTTTTGACAAAACCAACAATTTCAATTTTTCCAGGCATGAAATAAAAGGAAGAACACCTCTTATAAAAAGAAAATGGCTCTGATGAGTGGAAGATGTGAATATTAACAAGAATGAGATTTGTTCACAGCTATGATGTAAGTAATGGACTTAACCTAACACTCATTAAGTGACAGTGCTGATCCTAATTAAAATAAAATTCATCTCAGTGTCATTCAGTAAACACTGGCAGAAGGCAGTTCATCCATGATTATTTTCCTACAGCTTTCATTAACCCAGGATTAGAACCACTATCATTTCCCATGGTTCAGTTTAAAGCCGCCAACACTTGGAAGAATAATTTAAAATTCAACCATGCAAAGTAAGCAAAAATGAGACAGATGTGAATGGAATTCCTGTCTCTCGTGTGTGTACATCCAGGAGAATCACCATAACTAGAGTGACAAGAAATCACCCTGTGAGCTTTCAGTGACATTTCATCAGCTCAAAAATCTTTTCTACCATAGTACTTCAAAAAAGGCAGGCAGACAGACAAAGATGGAGGAACCGTTGTGAGTTACAGTTCCTAAGTGAACTCTGGCCTCCTTTGATTTTTCCCACAATGGATTCTCAAGGTTGCAACCAAACCTTTCCTACAGCCTCTCCCCTATCCCATCCAATTCTCTAGGCTCACACTAACATGTGTGGAAATTGCAACCCTCCATTTTCAAAAAAAAAAAAATGTCGTATCTCTCAGGATGCCTGTCTGAGCTGGCCCATGAGAAATCCTTACTATCATCCATATAACACATTAGTAATAGTGTTACAGATTACAAGTGACAGTCTGGCATTCAAACACCACAGCAGTCCCCTCCTCAGCCATAGTTTTGCTTCTCATGGTTTCATTTAGCTATGGTCAACTGTGATTCAAAAATACCATATGGAAAATCCTAGAAGCAAACACAGCCTGACCAGCGTGATAAAAGCCTGAGAGCTGTCCTGTTCCACATATTCCATAGTGAGATGATCTCTTTGCTCATGTACACAAACTGCATATGTTACCTCCCTCTAAGTCACTTAGTAAATCTTGGTTATCAAACCGGCTATTACGTTGTCCACATGCTTGTGTTCCAGCAACCCTCATATCACCCAATAATGACCCTGAGTTTCAAGGATAGTGAAGTAAAGGAGGCTTCCGTGCATAAATGAGGAAAGGTTAACTCTGGTAGAGCGGGCAGTGCTGCAGATCATATGGGAAAAAGCACCACACATGTAGGATTCAGTACCTTGCACGGTTCCAGGCATCCGCCGTGGGTCTTAAAATGGTTCCAACAGAGCCGGGCGGTGGTGGCGCACGCCTTTAATCCCAGCACTCGGGAGGCAGAGCCAGGCGGATCTCTGTGAGTTCGAGGCCAGCCTGGGCTACCAAGTGAGTTCCAGGAAAGGCGCAAAGCTACACAGAGAAACCCTGTCTCGAAAAAACCAAAAAAAAAAAAAAAAAAAAAAAAAAAAAAAAAAATGGTTCCAACAGATAAATAGTGTCAATTAAACTTTCTACCAACCCCTCAATTACACTTTCCCTGCCCCCCTCTCCCTAGGGAATTTGACCAGAATCATCTTGTTCCTCTTTAAGTGAGTTATAAAATTAAGAATAGGCTTAAGAAGCCAAGAAGACCTTGTTAAACAAATCTGTCTTCCTGGTGGGCACCTGCCCGTGGCATTTGTGGAGATGCTCTGTATCATAGACCCCACATCATTCCCAGCTTCCCAACAACCACCAACACGTAAGTAAGTCCCAGCTTCAGCATGTCATAAACACTTGCTTAATGATGTGGCTAAAAAAGTATAGAGAGTCCTTCCTATACTTCTAGGAAGTATAGGACCTTCTAGAAGGATGCAGGTAAATAGCCTACACATAGGAAGCAAGAATGGAGTCCCATCACACTTACTGGGTGAACCTGCAAACAAACAAGAGCCAGAGTGGGAAACCAGTATGAAAACTTCAGGTCCCACCCACATAATGACTTCATCTCCCTGGTTAGGAATCAACTGACCCTGTGACTTCTCACATTGCCCCTGGTATCTGGGTAGTCAGGGGATCCCTGCCAGAGAGCTGCCAGAAGGCAAGAGTGAAGGCAGATTAGAAAGCTATTTGTAGCAGCAAACCCAGTAAGAGGAGCTGAGCCCCTGGGTTAAGTCACTGCAGTCAACAGAAAGGTCACACTTGCAAACGATACGTGATGGACCTGGTTGGATGTGAGGAGGGATGTGAAGGGAGAAGAAGCAGGAATAAGTGAGGACTCCAGTCCAGCTGTCTGGGCCCCTGATAAGGGAAGAAGGGAGATTGGAGGATTGATTTCCAACCTAAGTTGTATTAGAAGCTCCTTTTAGCAAATGAAATGAAGCTGAGCTAAAAATGTGGAGCCAGGAATCATGCAGACAGTGCCGAAGCCAGGCCACACACGCCTTGCCAAGGCCTGTTGTTGGGCAACATCCGGAAGTGAATTCTATTAGTACTTCATCATGCAACTGAATCCTGTCTTCTCTAGCTTTTAGCAAAGACATTCAAGGACCTTACTGGGTCACCACACAGAGAAGCTAAACCCATTGTCTAGGTCCCAAGGAATAGCTGTGCTGTTCCTGTTTCATCATCTATATTGGACATCTCTAATAGTCTACTTCGGGGCTGCCCAGCCTCTGCTATCTCACATTTCAGTCTCCAGGGACACTAGTTTTGGGAAGTCTGGACGGTCACTTCTACTGCCCAAACCAGTGCCTGTCAAAGAACAGAACAGAATGAAGGTGCCTTGGGAACCTGCTGTGTGCCCACACATGCCCAGTTTGGAAAATTGCCAAGTTGATGCTTTATGAAACATAGCTTGGGTCTTTGGTTACAGACATTAGTGGACATTTCTCTCTCTACTCCTCCCTCCCTCCATCTCATGGGGCTGCTCAGGTGACCTACAGTTAACAACTGCTGCAGGCGACTTGGCAACGGAGTCTTCCCTCTTTCCCTGAGGTCACACTGCACAGTAAGACCTTCATAGGATTTTTTATTTATTTATTTATTTTGCTTAGCTCTGCTTTCTGCAGAATCTAGGCCAGGACACAATGGAAATGAGCAAGTAAAGAAACAGAACCATCAGCTTGCTTTTAATTATTCGAGTGTGTAGGAAAAGGTGGGAAGATGGCATCCCTTTGGGGATATGTTTACTAACTTAAATTGGTTGGATAGCCCAGGTAACATTATTTCCAGGAGAGCCAGGAAGGAGCTATACAACATGGTTATTTTTAGTATTTATATTCTAAAATCCAATATATATATATATATATATATATATATATATATATTGCAAACAATTCAATATATACTGCCTTAAGGGCCCTGTTTGCAGAATTTTAACGTACAGTCAGCTACTCCCTGAGAATATTCACCTAATACTTCATTCGCTGTTCATTGATAGACACACTCCTCCTTTCCTCCAACTCTTTCCTGTTTATTTCTCCATTAACTTCTTCCTTTCTTTGGCCAGCTGTACTAAAAGCCAACACCTTCCACAATGTTCCTGAAAATAGGGTCCATGTAAGCCTCATGTTTTGAGGGACCCAGTGAAAATATAACACCGCCCCCACAAATGGCAGGAAGTTCCACAGAAATCATTGCCTCTGGGCCTTTGGGCAATGAAGTTATGTAATAAAGATATTAAGAAGCAGGGAGAGCCGGGCGGTGGTGGCGCACGCCTTTAATCCCAGCACTCGGGAGACAGAGGCAGGCGGATCTTTGTGAATTCGAGGTCAGCCTGGTCTACAGAGCGAGATCCAAGAAAGGCGCAAAGCTACACAGAGAAACCCTGCCTTGAAAAACC